TACCCGAAGATGTTTGCGTTGGTCGTCTATGGCTGGGTCGAATAATGTGAGAAGCCACGCCTGGAGAGAGCGTAGTTTGAGCCGAGCATGAGCCACCGTTGACGTGGTGGAAGCCATGAGGCCTAGGAGATGTTGTGCATGCTTTGCTGTTACATGTGCCCCTGGAGTGAACCTTTCTATGGCCCTGTGAAGGTTTCAAATTCTTTCTTTGGTTAGAAAGATCCTTGCCCTGTTGGCGTCTAGGTGAGCACCGATATAGTGTACTGTTCTCGATGGTGAAAGATGAGACTTCTTTGGATTGATGGTAAGGCCCAGGTGCGGGAGCAGCCGTAGTACGAACTTTGTGTCTTTTAGAGCTTGTTTCTTGGATTTGGAGACAAGTAGCCAATCGTCTATATAAGGGTAGATGTGAATACCCTTGAGCCTTAGATATGCTGCTACGGGAGCCATCACCTTCGTGAAGGTCCTGGGAGCTGTGGAGAGTCCGAACAGTAAAGCCAGAAACTGGTAAATGGTCCCTTGAAAGAGAAACCGGAGGTACTTTCGATGTAATGGATGGATAGTCACATGAAAATAGGCGTCCTTCAAATCTATGACTGTGAACCAGTTGTTTTTGTTTAACAGGTGAACAATGGAGTCTAAGGTCACCATGCGGAATCGGCGAGGACGAAGGTAAATGTTTAGAATCCTTAGATCTAGAATAGGCCTTATACCTCCATCCTTTTTTAACACGGCGAAGTATCTTGAGTAGAAACCGTTCTTTAAATCTGCCATAGGAACAGTATGAATGGCCGCCTTTTGTAGAAGTGATAGAATTTCTTCCTCTAGGGCTGCGTTGTAGTGTTTATGACTTACATACCCTAAAGGAGGTAACTCTATAAACTCCAGACGGTAGCCGTGTTCGATGATGTTTAAAACCCATGTGTCGCTTGTAATGGCGCACCAATTTGAAAGGAAGGGATAGATCCTGGTGTTGCTTGTGAATAGACTGCAATTTAGGGGCGAGTCAAAGATAACGTTTTGCTTTCTTCGCAGGAGGTTTGTAGGACTGCCTGCGTTGTGATTGCTGAGACTTGTAGCTGGGTGCAGAGGACGAAGCTTGAGAAGACCTTTGAGGAGGTAAGTTAGCATAAGGCTTAAATTGTTGCGATGATTGTTGGTACTGTGCATAAGACCTGCGCCATTGGAACTTATGGTAGCGAGGTTGTGGCTGGATGGAATACGACTTTGCTGTCTTCTTGGCTTTATGAAGTTCTTCCAAGTGAGAATCTGTCTTCTCGTTGAAGAGGCCGGCGGCGTCAAAGGAAAGACTTTCCACCTTATTCTTTACATCCTCTAGAATGTTGGAAGCCCTCAGCCAAGCATGCCAACGTAGTGTTACTGCAGACGTGAGCACCCTCGCAGCAGCCTCAGCCGCATGTCTAGTTGCTAATCTCCGGTGCTTAGACACTGTCTGAGCCTCTTCATAGAAATTGAGGAAACTCTGCCTGAATTCCTCTGGGATTAACTTAAGTCCAGGTAGCATCTTGAGCCAAAGCTGCTTTTGGTACAGTTTTGTAGTTGATGACTTTGAGTAAAAAGGCGACAAGAGAATAAATCTTCCTCCCTATGATCTCCAATTTCTTCCCTTCTTTATTAGTAGGGGTTACATGAGATTTACCCGTGGGTTTAGTGCAGCTTGTTTCGACAATCAAAGAATTTGGGATTGGAAGTTTGAGGAGAAATTTAGTATCAGGTCCATGGACCCTGTAGAAATTCTCAGTACGGCGAGGCAGCGTAGGTGTGTTAGCTGGCTGTTCCCAATACTCCTTAATTATATCCATAATGATTGGGACAAAGGTTAAACTAGGTGGAGGAGATTTCTCCTTTATGTCCCCGAAGATGAGGTCTTCTGTAGGAGGTGTAGGCTGGTCGAGGTCTAGCTTGTGAGAGCACGTGCTAGCCGAACCAGCATCTGGGAATAGGATGAAAAGTTCTCTGAAGGTGAAGAGTCATTAGCATCCCCAATGTCAGACCCAACCACTTCTTCAGGTAAAGTGCCCTGGGTCGGTTGTGCTGCTGGCCCTCAATCCGAGTCAGAAGAGAGAACTGAGGATACTTCATCGGGGTCCGATGAAAACACATCCCTCTTGGAACGTCGAGGTGGTTTGTCGACCCCGACAGTTAGGTTCGACGTCGAGGGTTGAACCTGAGGGATAGTCACAGGGGGTGGAGCTGTAGGTGGAGCAGGCTCCGGCAACTGTGGCTATGGCTGGGGTGCCTTGTATTTCTTGGAGCCCCCCTCTCGACGTCGATGTCGATATCGAATCTGAGAACTGGACGAAGAGGAAGAGATGTATATGTACTTGGTCTTGTGCTTCCTCCGACGTCGCTCTGTAGACGTCGACGAAGACGTCGACGAGGTAGAATGGCGTTGACGTCGACGATGACGACGCTTATGGGAGGAATCCGAGTCGGTCGAAGAGGGACTCTGTCGACGTCGGCGCTTATCACGGCGTCGATTGGAGGGACTACGCTTCCTCTTTGAAGAATGTTTCTTTCTTGGTGATTTCGACCTCGAAGATGATGACGAGGTCGAAGGAGCCAGAGATCCCCGCCCATTAGAGGATGGGCTATGTGGGGCAGACGTCAAACCTGCCGTGACGCTAGCGAGTTGACTCGGCGTCGGAGAGGGTGCTCTGCGCGGTAGAGACGGCTCCACTTGTCGAGGAGGCAGAGAGGGTGCTGTCTCCGACAAGGACTCTCGATCCCGAGAAGAGTCTTCCAATATAGGGGACGGCAAAGACTGCGAAATCGGTGGAGGATTAGCAGTCAGATCCTTAGCCGTCTCAAGGGCTTTTGTCTTGGTCTTTGCAGATTTCAAAGAGACAGCCGACTTTGTCTTCGAGGAAGACTTTTTCGCAGCGACCGGTTTTTTCGCTGGAACAGCTTTTGATGGAACAGGCTGAGGAGCAGCCGTTGCCTCAGACTGATGAAACGTCGACGGTGAGGCCATTTCTGAATCTATGGGTCTTGTGGCTGCAAGGGTCGATTCCCAGAGATGGAACTTAAGCCACTGCTGCCTTGCTTTAAGAATCGCTTTGGTGAAAGTTTTGCAGTGGCGGCAAGACTTTGTCTGGTGGGATTCACCTAGACAAAAAAGGCAGCAGTCGTGCGGATCCTGATGGGGAATCTTCCTCTCACAGTCCACACAGCGACTGAAGGGCCCAGAAGGCATAAGCCAGCCGTTAGTGGTAGTAGGAAAAAAGGGGGGGGGAACCGATGGCAGCCTCGTTTAAGGGGAAAATGCAATAAGGATGGTCTAAAACAGTCCATATGTAGGGAGACGGCAGTAAACGAAATCTGAAGCCAGTCCGTGTCAAAAAACCGAATTTTTCTTAGGTATAGTAATGAAAAAGATAGAGAGGTCGAAGTGAGAGGTCCCAACCGCAACGCGGAAAAATGGAACTAAGGCTCGGGTGGACGGAGCATGCGCAATATAGGCAGCCTACAATTGTTACATTTCTCTTACAGCTCGAGAATGTTCCAAGAGGACCAATGCTGGCACTTGTGTGTGCATTCACAGAAGACCACGATGAAGAATTAATTAATTAATTAATTAATTACAAAGCTGTAGTGTGGCAAAGAAAACAAGAAAAATATGCAAGTGTCCAAAAACCTTACAACAATTCCAAAAGCCAAGAAAAATAATAAAAACAGTTTCAATAAGGAAATCCATCAGGAAAACAAAATAATCCAATTATGTAAGAAAAAGTCCATAGTCCTTAATAATCCTGTAAATGAAAAAAAATACTGCACAAAAGGAAAAATCCTGTAAAAGAAAATATCCCATTGTCCTGAGAATAATCCAAGAGAATAGTCCATAACGGGTAGTCCATAGGAAATAGCCCATGGGAACAGTCCAAAGGGTAATCCAGTATAGTCCATGTGAGAGTTATGAAAGACTTAAGGGGTGGGTCACGAAAGACATTGGAGTGAGTCACGAATGACTATGTCCATAGGTAAAAGTTCCTTTTTCAAGAGTAACTGGTAAGTCCTTATCTGCTCCTTCCCATGATGTCATCCAATCACAGTCCGTCGTTAGGCAAACAGTCCTTTTGTACCACCTGACCTTCTCTCTCATGGATAACATGTTATTTGGGTTTCTGTGGTTTTGCAACGAGTCACAACAATACCCATCTATCTTATCACAAAGTTCCTTCTCATGCTCTCAGAAAAGCATTCTCCCAGATCTCACTAGAAAACAACCTGTTAGCATTGCAAAGATCCCTTTTACAGAGAAACAAGATGGAACCTCTCTTGCACATTTCTTAATTACAAAACCCATGTTCAATACAAGATTTTAATCACATATCCCATCTCATCACACACCTCTACAAGAATTTGGGAGAAGCAGTGAGAAGCCCAGAGGCTTGCAACTGGAAAGCAACTTCATCCAGCTCATATGAGAAACTGTTTGGATAAGTTATGGCCATTGCACATTAGAAGCCTTGTCTGGAAGCATTCCTTCTCGCGGGATTAGCTGTTGTGGCAGAAACAGAATATAAGGAACTTGCCCTCCCCTCAGGTTGGATTTCACGTTTCCCCCAATTTTGTTTTCAAGCTAAAAGACAGAAAGATGTTATTCCCCAATAGGTGTCATAACAAAGATAAACTTCTTTTTCCACTCTGCATGTTAAATGGACAAAAAAAAATACAGATATTTGTCATCTGGAATAAAAGAAGTCTGTGCAGTAAAAGTATTAAGTTCAGCAACTACAGTACTGTGTTGCACAAAACAAAGGTCAGTCCATCTCTGGGTGGCGGGCACCGTCTTGGTTGTAGGAAAAGACACACGGGAAGATGTCAAAAGGAACAGCTTTCTGGGTCAACAGTAAAGTGAAGCCAACATATTGGTTCTGAAAGATTAGATTATAATCTTCGGGTAAGTAGCATGAAGCCTGCAATTTCATTTGTAAATTATGTAGATTATTCATGACTGCGATGGTAGGCAAATACAGCAGACATTTCTGACTCCTGATGGACAGGTAGTCCAACCCACTAAGCTACCCAGCCAGTCCTTTGTTGTTTGTTCTTATGTGCCATCAGGTTGCTTCCAATTTATGCGATCCTATGAATGAGCAATCTCTAGAATGTCCTGTCGTCAATGGCTCTGCTCAGCTCTTGCAAAGTCAAGGAGTTGATCCATCTCATATTTGGTTTTCCTCTTTTTCTGCTGCCTTCCACCTTTCCCAGCATGATTGTCTTTTCCAAAGACAATTCCTGCTTTCTTCTGATGTTCCCAAAATAGAACAGCCTCAGTTTCAACATTTTTGCCCCAGAGGTAGTTCAGGCTGAATTTGATCTAGGACTCGCTTATTCATCTTTCTGCTAGTCCAAAGTACCTGCAAAGTTCTCCTCCAGCACCAAATTTCAAGCAATTTTTCCCTGACAACTTTTTTTAACTGTCCAGGTTTCACACCAATACACAGTGATCATAAACTCAAGAGTGTGAATGTTCTAGGTCTTGGTCTCCAGTGACACATCCTTACACTTGATGCTCTTTTCTAATCCCTTCTTAAATTCTCTGAATGAGACAGTCTGTGCAAGAATAAAATACCTAAAAGAGGGAAAATACAGTGGAGCCTCTACTTAAGGAATTAATCCGTATTGGAACAGTGGCTGCAAGTCGAAAAGTCTGTAAGTCGAATCTCCATTGACCTACAATGCACTGAAAACCGGTGAATCCCATAACCAGTGGTTTTTATTCTATTTTTATTCCATTTTGTTTTTTGTTTTTTTTTCTGGTCTGTAAGTCGATTCTCTGGTTGCAAGTCGAATCTAAATTTTGCAGCCAGAGAAGTCTGTAACTCGAAAAGTCTTAAGTCGAGCCGTCTGTAAGTCGAGGGTCCACTGTATAAGGTTAAAGTCACAATTGATGCCACCCTGCAAATGTCAAAAAGTTCAACCTCCAAATCAATCCCTTCTCCTTACTCAAAACATGGCATGATGGATTCTTTTAAAACTTTAACTTCGATGCCAAGTGAACACAAGAGGAGACCCAGAAAGGCATAGCAACATGGCGAGACCTTACATTTCAGTTTGGGACCCGGCACCCCAGTTGGGAAGACAGCATATGTACCTCACTGTGTGACCCTCGGCCGGTCAGTATGGCTTGGCCTAAACTCCTTTAGTGCACAGGACTGTTGTAAGGGTCTTTGCACTGGAATGGGACATAGGCTTCTGCAGGTGGCCAAGTGCATTATCTTACAGTGAAACATAATATATGGATGCTGTTCAGACAGAAAGTGGTAACTGAGAAATGTGCAGATATTTGATCCACCTTCTGGCAACTGTTTGTCAGGTCAGATTTTGGAGAGGATATAAATGTTTTTGCTTAGACGCTGGCTTCCTTGGGCCTTCTTCTCTCACTCTCTCTATTAAAGTGACTGCTGTGTTCTTGCCTCTATGAATTACCATGTGCATAAATGACATTTTTGGTGCAACACACAAAGCATGCTGAAAGTAGGATGATTCTGCGAACCAGCCCTTTCAAAGTTTGCAACCTCTATTGATATATTCTCATTTTCTGTATTGCCTTTTACTCGAGCCTCACCCACTATCACAGCTACTGTGCTTATAAACCTCTGGTTTAAAGACTGCACTCGATACATTCAAACAAGTGGCTTCTAATCTCACATTAATATACATCTATTCTTTTTAAATATATCACAACACTTTTAAAAACTTTTTTTGAAAGATGTATAGTAGATGTTTGTGTATTTAATAATAAAACTTCTACATTAAAAACAGAGGAAACACATATGTGAGGTGAATAAGACACACTCCCTCCCTCTCTCTCTCCATTAGCTCTAAGGGAACCAAACATGTACACCTTGACCTTCACACAGTTGAGAGGGCATTTTTTTAGCATTCCTGAGTCCCCACTTTAGAGTCCAGCTGTAAGTGGTTTCAGTTGCTTCTGGTCCTTAGAAGACATTTATTTTCTGATACAGTGGTACCTGGCCAGGAAGTGCTCGCCTCATGCCCGCCCGCCTCCTGCTCACTGGAAGGACAGATCCTGAAGCTGAGGCTCCAGTACTTTGGCCATCTGATGAGAAGAGAAGACTCCCTGGAAAAGACCCTGATGTTAGGAAAGTGTGAAGGCAAGAGGAGAAGGGGATGACGGAGGATGAGATGGCTGGACAGTGTCTGCGAAGCAACCAACATGAAATTGACCGACCTCCGGGAGGCAGTGGAAGACAGGAGGGCCTGGCGTGCTCTGATCCATGGGGTCACAAAGAGTCGGACATGACTAAACGACTAAACAGCAACAACAACATAAAATTTCCAAAAATTTCAATTTTTTCCAAGGAAAAAATGGAAATTTTTGGAAGCATCCCGGAGGGGAAAAAATCACCAAAAAAATTAAAAGCGCACAGGAAGCCCAGTCGGAAGGTGTTCCGTTGCTGAGGCTTTTAAGAAAAAATATATATACACACACACATGCTCACTCTGAAGCTGAGCACAGAAACAAACCCTCCCTGCAGACACACACACACACACAGGCTGACTCGGAAGCAGGAGGCTCTCCCAAGCCTCCAACTGTGACATTATAACTGCTGAAAGAGCTACAGCACAAAGAAGCAGCCTCGGCGCCACCTAGTTAGAAAGTTGAAAGCCTTTTTTCCCTGCCTGTTTTCTGTTCTTACGTCGCAGCTCCTTGTGCAAGTCGAAGCAAAAAGTTGCCACCGGAGCTGTTCGTAAGTCGAAATGTTTAGAAGTAGGGATGTTCGTAAGTCAAGGTACCACTGTAATTAGAAGAAATACTGTCATGTATTGAGCTCACATAGTGTTAGACCCCTAATACATAGTAAAAAAAACTTCTCAATGAATAAGAAAAGAGGAGGGTTTTTTGTGGCTTGACGCAGATTTAG